ATATAATCTAGATGTGGACAAATGTATGCAAGGTACAGTGTTTTTTTTATAAAACTAGCCTGTGGCTACAAAAAGCTTTTTGAAGACAATTGATCATTTGATTCGTAACTGAGACTGCTGTTTCAACTTGAGTTTTGACCTTTAAGGCATTGGAAACAATAATCCCAAGGTCTCGTTTAACTATTGTTTCTTCCAGTGTACAACAAGTTCCAACTAGCTGTGCCATTGTGTATAAATGTGTTGACTTGTTAGTGCATCCAACATGCATAACTCTGCATTTATTGATGTTAAAAAGCATTAACCACTTGTGCGACCAGTCAACTATTTTATCTATGTCAGCTTGAAGAATGATGGCATCTTGCAGAGATTTGATGACTCCAATAATTTTACCATCATCGGCATAAATTTTTGTGTGGTGTACAATGGTGTCTGGCAATTCATTAATAAATAAGACAAATAGTCTTATTTATTATGAATTATCCATGACTAGCGGTGTGCCCTGTGGCACACCGCTAGTCATGGGGAATCACTCAGATGTTATTCCATCTAATACTACTCTCTGTTGCCGACTAGTTAACCAATTCTTAACCCATTTAAGCAGGGTGTCACTAATGCCATATGCTAACAGTTTGTGTAACAGGCACGGAACTTTGTCAAATGCTTTGGCAAAGTCTGTATAATATGTCATGTACTTCAAGAAGATTTGTGACACACCCTCACTTAGAAACAAAACTATGTTGAGTTTTGGATATAAGATTATGTTTATGCAAAACTTTATTATACGATCATGTATGAGGACTTCCATTTCCAAAGTTTCTCTTCAGCACAAAATGTGTAATTATTTTCATAAATAAGACAAATTTTTTAATTTTTGTTAAAACCGTTTATTTTGTATATACATGTTTCGACTATATCATAGCCATCATCAGTTAAAATATATTAAAATAATCAAATCAAATTATCAAAATTAAGTTGAACTAATAGAGACCTTATAATAAAAATACAATAAAAATGCAATTAAAAAATGTAACAAATGTTTTAAAAACATAAAAGAACCGGTAATGCTAAAAGGAACTAGATTGAAATTGTCATTTTTACATGGTTCATTTGTTTATTATTAGTGGGTTTTTCCCACTCTATGTACATGCTTTCGTTTGAATGAATATGTTTATAAATGTGTGAGTTTTTTTCTTTTTTTTGGTGCTCGATTATTTGTGTCTTTAAATGGCAAGTAGTTTCGCCATTTAAAGACACAAAACTCACTTAATGACTTTTTGAATTGTTAATTATGAATTGTGTTCTTCATCCAACAATTTATAAAAACACCATTTTTAAAAACACTTATATAGACCTAAACTAAATGTGTTTATAGTGTTATATAATAAAAAAACATTTTTTGGTATATAGTATTTTCTATTTTTTCAGTATATAGCTTTTTTTTTTAGATTATTCAGATTTATTCTTTGCATTATAATAATTAAATTTATTGGTACTAGTTTTAAATATAATCGAAACATACCAAGATATGTGACAACCAGCCCCATAGTATGTAACAACCAACCCCGTAGTTGGGGTTAGCTGTCACATGAAAGAGGTCTTTGATAAATGAATTTACAGCAAAAAAGATTTCACTCAATGTTGTAAAAATATTTTAATAGTTACTGGAAATACTTAAATTACTTTCGTGCAAAATTTGGCATATTATGGTTTATTATTATATAATTATCTTATTATTCTTATAATTGTTAACTTATCATCATTATTATTATCATTATTATTTATATTACTAATACTACTTCATGGTATTTACTTTAGTTAAGCTTTTAACTGTTTGTAAATGACCTCATTTGTAAGATCTTTTATTGAAGGGAAAAAAATATTGATTGAATGAAAACAATGAAAATATTAAAGAATTATATTGAGAAAATTTTAAGAAAAATATTAAATAAAAAGAACAACTAAAAGCAAAGTTAAAAGAAAAAATGTTCTTTAGATATTCAAAAATAAAAAACGTTATTAAGTTTTTAAAATAAAATAAAATAAAAACAATTTTTAAATATTAATAATTTATGTTGTTTTCATTGTTTATATTGTCGTGTATTTTTGAATGATCTGAACATTATTTTGCAAGTAAAGAACAAATTGGTCACCAAAATGTAGATAATGTTTTCAAAGCTTTTCAAACCAAGCTTTTACTCTGAGAACGTCAAATTGAACAAAAAAACTTAGTAAATTTGGAGACGTGCAAGTCTATGAAGCTGCACGACTCCAAATTTTATGTTCAGCAGCTACTCAAAAAATATAAACAATATAAAGCAAGATTTTGAAGTAAGGTTTCAAGATTTCAAAAAATATGAACCAAAGTTTGCTTTGTTCACTGCACCATTCAACTTTGATATTCAAAAAGTGGAAGATCTGCAAATGGAATTAATTGAACTTCAGTGTGATTCTGTTCTGAAACAACAATTTACTGATGTTGGTGTACCCAAGTTTTATTCATTTTTTCCATCACATCAATTTCCCAAGATAATTCAATTTGCTTGTCAAAAATGTGCAATGTTTGGAAGTACTTATCTTTTTGAGCAACTTTTTTCACACATGAAACGAAATAAAACCCCTGAGAGGTCGAGGTTTACTGATGAATATTTGTCTTCCTTAATGAAAGTGGTAGCTAGCCAAGACATAAAACCAGACCTTACTAAGCTTTCAGCAAATAAAAAATGTCAAAATTTCAGGAAAATCCAAAATTTTATAATTTTTGTTATTATTATTACAAAATACTCCTTGTTCATTTTTATTGTGTTCTTACTGTATGAAATTAATAATGCAAAATTAAACTTCTGTACTTTTTTCAATAATATTGCAGTGATTTGATAGATTTTAAATATAATTATAATCTTGTGTATTTCACATCAAACCTTAGCAAAAGGACAGTTTGGGTTGCAATATGTTCATCAAGAATGAATAAAAAATTATTACAAATACTAGGTTGTCTTGAATAAGACAAGTTTGACAATTCAATTGACTTGAAAATTGCTCTGAATATAGATGGGCTATTTATTTAGTGGAAACAGTTTTCTATTTTAGCTATGTAAAGCAATGCTTTATCATACAAGAGAATTATTTAATAATATGTTTATTTATAGTAGTTTGTATAATCTTTTGAGGTGTCTGTTTTAGTGGTTTATATATAAAACTGTTTTTATATAGAATTGACACTTTATAACAGTTTATAACTTTTATAAATGGCTTATTTAAGTCTTTCGAAAATAAAACTAGCTTGCTTTTTAAAACTACATAGTGCTTTTTTTTTTAATTAAAAACTTTAAATTTTTAATAAGAAATTTTTTATTAAGAAAAATAATTTTATTTTTGATAAAACATTTTTAAAAAGATTTTTTAAAATTTTAAAAAATTAATTTAAAAAGATTTAAAAAAATATTTTTTCTTTAACTTTATTTAAAAAAATATTTTTTCTGTTTTTTGTTGTAAAAGCTGTACTTTTTCACTGCAACAACATGTCTTTTTTGTTTTTTATGTTGTTGATATTGTTTTGTAAGCAAATTAAACTAAAATTTATGTAAGTTGTTGTTATAAACAAGCTTTTCTTTACAAGAAGTATTATTGTTTAGTATGAATTTTTGTTAATTGTAATAAGCTCAGCCAATTGTGTGCCTTATGTGTTACTTATGCTTGAAGCGTAATAATTAAATCGTGGGCTCTCAAATAAACTTGATATGGTGTAATTCAATTGTAAAACATGGTGAATTGGTAAAATAAATTTTTACTTAATTACTTAACATTTTTTAAATAAATAAAAGTTTTATTTGTATGTTTTAAAATATAAAATAATTGTTGGGTAAACTTCCATGTTTGTTATTGTGTGTTTAAGGTGAACGTTTAAGAGCTATCAAAATAACGTTTGCAAAAAACATTAAGTAAATGTTTGCTGTTTGTTATTTTAACATTCCCATTAAACATTCAAGAATTGTAAACCTGAGTTCACAAAAGTTGGTTCATGTTATGTTTGCAGGGAGCGTTATGCAAACCTAAATCAGTGTTGTGGCAACATTTTTTGAAAGTTAATTGTTAGCTGGGTAATCCACTGTTATTCAGGGTGGTAGCCCTCTTAGCAATCAATTTTATGTTCATGGTAGGAGGTAACTCATGTTATTCAGAATGGTAAACTTCTAACCAAGAGTAGACAAAATCAATTAAGAAATGAACTTACATTTTCTTAAACAGGGCAATCAGCCAAAACTTTTTTTTTTTAGGTGTCAGTTCATATTTTCAAACTAAAGACATTCATATTTGATGCAGTCAGTTTTCTAATGCTATTTTTGGAACTCTTTAAACAAGTGATAAAATAAGAAACAATAGACTGAAAATATTATATGTTAAATGAAAAAAATATTAAAAATCTGAAGTGACTGGTCACTTATTGTTGAAAATATAAAAGAAGAAGACAACAGCAGATATATTTCCAAAAAATCTATATTATGTCATTAACAAAAATTTGAAACAATTACACATACAAACTAAGATTAAAAAAATATTAAATAAATAAAATTGAAACTGATTTCTAAATCCAAGCATGAAATTAAGAACTCTTTAAAAAAAAATGAAAATAAGTGAGCTAATAAAGTATTAATAAATAATCTAAATAATTATTATTATTAATATTAATATTGAATTAACACTAATATTGAAAATATATTTATAAAAAAAAACAGAAATAAACTAAGATTTTATTCTAAAGAATTATTTTTATGAGTGTCAAGAAAAAACTAAAGTCTCTTTTAAACAATTATAAATATAAATTTACTATTAACAATTTCAATTTTCACTAATAATCTCTACTTTAAACTATTAAATTTGTTTATTTAAATGAACTTCTATATAAATTTGTTTATTTAATGAACTTCATTTTATACTTGTATAAAATGGGGAAAATATTTATAGGGGATTTTATAAAAACACACATTAAGAAAGATACTTACAAATGCTGCAATTTTGGCAGTTTTGCCATTGCTAAAATATCAATTTGATTTAGACTTGCAATTTGATTTCTATCAACACCTCTAAAGTCAAAACAATATATGTATATATATATATATATATATATATATATATATATATATATATATATATATATATATATATATATATATATATATATATATATATATTGTATATATATATATATGAATATATATATATATATATATATATATATATATATATATATATATATATATATATATATATGTATATGTATATATATATATATATATATATATATTATATATATATATATATATATATTATATATATATATATATATATATATATATATGTATATGTATATATATATATATATATATATATATATATATATATATATTTATATTTATATATATATATTTAAATATTTATATATATATGTCTGTTTGCTAAGGATAAGAAAATAAACAGTGATATATATGCATATATATATATGTATAAATATATATATATATATATATATATATATATATATATATATATATATACATATATATATATATATATAAATATATATATATACATATATATATATAATATTATATATATACATATATATATATATATATATATATATATATATATATATATATATATATATATATATATATATATATATATAAACAAACAAATAATTTTAAATGTATTCTACAAAATAGAGTGTTCAATGTTCTTAAAAGAATAGAGCAACAATACATTATAAAAAAAATCAGTTATCAGAAATTTTTCATTTTACAGTGTTTTATCAATAAAGACTCATCAGAAAAATAAATATTTTTTATTTCTGATAACTTTGTAACAAATAACACTGTAAAAAATGATATTAATCTAGTATGCGATTTTCTAATAATTTTCTAATAACTGGCAGATGTTAACCCATTTAGTTATTACCTTGTAGAAGACCTCCTAGGCAAAAACTTAAGGGACAAACAGATTCTATCTGTCAACCACCCTTGCACTCCTTATTTATCTATTAGACTGGTACAGGTGTATTTATAATATATTGTTTCCAGTTTAGGATATTGAATGCTGGATCTTCTTGACTCAATGCATGGGTTTTGCTTGTGTATCTGTTTTTATGACTAGGCAACTAATTCTATTATCTCCTAATGAGGGTACAGCTCTAAAACTCAGTTTTATGACTCTCTTCGATGTTATTTCTGATCAAATTGACTTAGCCCTCTCTTTTTATCCATCAGCCCTATCTTTTTCTCCATAGCCTTGGGTAGAAATCTTTCATCTTCCAGCTGACATGTGCTTCTTGTATAACTTCTTGGATTCTGGCTGGCATGGAATTTTTATTCTTTCTCAACAATTCCAAGTCAAGCATCACTCTTCTCCTTGGTTTACCTCACATTGTGCTGCTACAATTTCCAATAGAAGCCATTACTTCCATATCTATCATCAAAACAATTCTCCAGAAAACAGATGCCTATTACTACTGCTGGAAACCATTGTAAAGGTAATTGTATAAAATGTCAAAGCCTGCTATTCTCAATTCATGAAATCTCATATTTTATCTCAAAAATTAGGCTCTGAAGAATCTTTAACAATATAAATAATAAGGGCATATATGTTATTCCACCTCTCTTGTATGGTTTAGATTTTTTCTCTCATGTGAAGACAAAGCTAAACTGTTTGCTGAAAAATTTTAATCAATAAACTCTTGATTCAACTAGTTGTGTTCTACGGTAGAACCAATATAAAATTACCAATATAAAATATAAAAGAAATACCAATATAAAAGAATACAGACATTCGAGAGGAGAATAAAGATACTAAATAACTAGTAATGTCTTGAAATTTAGTTAATAGAATGATTTTTATTTCCTTTATCAGTATTTAACTAATTTAATATTTTAATACATATTTCAATAACATTTATAATAACTTGCTAAATGTTTTAAAAAAATAATAAAAAACCAACTTGCTACAAAAACAGATTGATCGATTTTGGGTATATTCTAAAGACCATTATGTATATAAATACAGTGTTTACAAGAGTAATTACACTATAAACGTTGCACTTGCTGATAATAAAGCATTTATAAGTGTTAAAATCAGAGTTATCAGTTGTAAAATTTTTAAAAAAACCCAAATATATTTTGGGTTTTTTTGGGTTTTTTTAAGGTGGGTTTTTTTGGTTTTTTTTGGGTTGGGTTTTTTTGGGTTGGGTTTTTTTGGGTTGGGTTTTTTTGCCAACCCTGGTTCTACCAAATACTTTCTTGATTCAACTAGTTGTGTTCTACCTTCTAATCAATCTCTTGATTAAACTAGTTGTATTCTACCTAATACTGCCAACAAACAGGTTGATCCATTGCTTGACATTCATATCATTCTAGCTTCTGTATCTAACATCTTTAAGATTATTGAATCCATGCTTTCAAATCGTAGTATAAAAGTTGTCCTTAATGGAAAGCACTCTTTTTCATATCCTGTAACTTTAGGGGTTCCTCAAGGTACTAACCTTGACCCTATACTTTTTAATTTACATTATTGATCTCCAGAAATTCTTACATCTAAGGTGGCAATGTTTGCTGATAATACTACCATTTATTCTTGTTTTGTTAAGAAGCCATCACTATTTGGTTGCTTGGAGGGGGCATTTGAGCTTGAAAAGGATCTCACTTCTAATACAGCATGGGGCTCACAGTGGCTAGTGAACTTTAATTCAGATAAAATCCAACTTTTTTAACCAACCGCTATTGCAATAATTTAGATCTTCATTTATTTATGAATGGTAATGTACTTGATTAGTCATCTACCCTACATCTTCTAAGATTAACTTTCACTTTGGATCTTTCTTGGAAACCATATATCATATACATTGCAAAATTAACATCTTCTAAGGTTGCATCTCTTTATCGTGCTTGCCACTTTTTTATTCCAGATTCTATTTTTTATCTATATAAATCTCAAATCCATCCTGTATGGAATACTCATGCCATATCTGGGGAGGATCTTCTAACAATGCTCTTTCTCTTTTAGACAAGGTGCAAAAATTGTGAGCATAGTTTAACCTAATCTTGCAGCTAACCTCCAACCATTATCACATTGTCGTAATGTTGCTTCTCTTTTTCTTTTCTACAAATACTATAATGGGCACTTCTTTAACAAGCTCGTGTCTCTTGCATTATTTACTAAAATTCATTTGCATGTTACTCATTATTCAATTAAGTCTCATCCTTTTTCTGTGAATATTCCTATGTGCTTCAAAAACTCTTATTCATCTAATCTTATTCATCTAATCAACTCATTAACTTGAATTTAAAAAAAGTTAAAATTTTATTTTAAATAATGTTTTTTATAATATTTCTAATAACCTTATTCCTTCAATTGATTATAATACCAAAAGTTAATTTTGGTATTTACTTCAAAAACTCTTATATTCATATAGTCTTATTTATCTAATCAACTCATTGACTTATATTTAAAAAAATTTAAAATTTTATTTTAAATAACGCTTTTTATAATATTTCTAATAACCTTATTCCTTCAATTGATTAAAATACCAAAAGTTAATTTTGGTATCTACTGCTCTAAAAAACTTAAGAGAAGAATCAAAAGCATCCAGAATTCCCTAATATAAACCACCAGTATAAGTTTAGGAGAAAATAATTAAAGATAAAATAGGCTAAAAATTATAAATATCTATAAATAGATTAACAATGTATGGTTTTATTTACAGACAAATTAAAAATTGAGATTTTAGAAAAGAAACAATATCAGCATGTTAATTGGAAATTTGACGAAGACATGAATAACAAGTGTTTTACCAATAGTTAAACACGGAAACGGTTCTGTGACAGTTCAGGATGTTTTGCTGCTCACAAAGCAGAAGATATAGTCAATATTAATGGAATTCATGATATCACAGCATTCTTCAGTATCATGTTCTTTCATACGGACAAAGAATTGTAGACAATCATTTTATTGTACGCAAACTTGTGAAAGAGTATTAAAAAAATTATTAACATACATGGATTAGCCCACTCAGTAACTGAATTTTAATTGGATTGATTCATTATGGGATAAACTCCAAAAAAAAATGAAACCAAACAATCAAGAAAAACTCAAGAAAATACAGTTTTGAAGTAAAAACCAATAACATTTAAAAAGTTGACAGAGATGAAGAAAAATACTATTCCTAATTTGGCAAAAGAGACATCTGTAAATAAAACTTTATTAAATGGAAATGCTCCAAGTATAAAAGAATGTTACTCGAATTTTAAGCAAATATGGGAAAAAGTTGGTCTATCAGAGAAATCATATAAACTGTTTGCTGATTTAAAGCTGCTTAATATCATTCTAGGACTACAAAGCCACATTAAAGTAAAATTTACCATTTAAACATTTATTATATTATTGTACATCATGCTAATTTTTGATTTGCATGTTAGGTGCAAAATTTCCTTGTTGTTTTTGCAATAAGAGTTTTGACATGGATGATTTCTTGTTTGTATCTGGAAAAGTTAGAACTCTTGTATTAATCAAAAAAAACATTTAGCCTGAATAGCAGCTTGGAAAAAGGATTCAAAGCTAAAAGACTTTAACAATTGCAAGAACTTTCTTTTACTAGTAGGAGATGATTCAACCAGGATTCTAGACATCCAGAAATACACATTTTTACTGTAAGTGTTTTTAAAACTTACAGTAAAATTACCATATAAATTAAAACTATTATGTTGCATATATGAATATGAAATTGGTAAACCTTTAAAATAATCTTCTTTATTATAAGTTTTTATTCAAACTTATATGTTAATATTATGAGAGCTGTGTAAACATTAACCGGAATGAATTAGCTCACAGTTGGCAAACTAACAAATGGACACCTTTTTTGAAAAAAACATGGTCTTTTAAAAGCATTAGGGAGGGGATTTTGAAGGTTAATTTATTATTCAAAAATAAAATCTGACTTAAAAATTGTTGAGTTAGACATATTTTATACTTTAAAATCACAAGACTCCAGTGTAAAAAAACTACTCAAATTTTCCAAAAAACTGAGAAAAAATCTCTCAGATAATCTTCATGGGTTTTGCGATGCATTGGATGCTCATGATGTGGTATCTCAGTCAACATTTGGAAAGAATTTTGCAAATGGTTTTAATACTGATATAAAAAATTTCAAACATTATTTTTGGGCTTTAAAACTCTTAACTAAGTCAACAGAACTTCATATCTTGCTCAGCCATATAACATCATATTGCACTGAGAACAGTAATGCTCTTGGACTCACCAGTGAGCAAGAAGCAAAGACTTTTTTCATTCAAAAATTTTAGAGATAATGAGGCACAGGTTACCCTAAGACTGTCATAATGACTAATACAAGAAAAGTTTATGTAAGCAGTATTCTTAAATCAACACATTCAATTATTTTTAATTGGTGACTCATCCAGCTATTAAAAAAACTAAGATGTTTTTAAATACTTAGATAACAAATCTTCAACATGTTGAGCCATTTCAATATTTCTGCTTAGTACTGTATTATTGCTTATAAAATTTTTTTTGATAATATCAGATGCTGGCTTGTGTAGCATAGTGTGCATAGTCTCACTTATAACTTGTAGAATTATTTTCTATGAAATTGAAAGTCTATGAAATTGAAATTCTATGAAATTAAAATTCTATGAAATTGAAATTCTATGAAATTGAAATTCTATGAAATTGAAATTCTATGAAATTGAAAGTTTATGAAATTATGATATAAAGCAATTGTGAAAAAAAAAATGAAATTGATATATAGCAACTATAAAATTACTTTAAAGACCAAAAAAATGAGTAAAAAACAGATTTTTCTACTCAAACAATTTTTCTACTCAAAAACATAAAGTAACAAAATCACTGGTGCAAAATTTAGTTTACTTGTTAGAGAATTTTTATAACCCATAATAAGTTATATTATAAACCAAAAGTATTATTTACATTTTTTGAACTAAAATTTTGCAAACTAATTAGTGCTTGTAATATTTAACATTGGTTTTCTCTTTTTAATTTCTCTTGAAATCATGAAATCTCAGAGTACTGGAGTATTTTTTTTAAACAGGACTCCAGAAACACTAAACTTCAGTTAAAGATTGACTAAAGACTCCAAAGACTCTTCTAGACACTTCTTGTGCAACACATGGCAAAGGTCTTTCATTTTTTGATATATTTTTAATATATAAATTCATCTTTTATTTTTTAATTTAACCTTAATTTAACCTTAGCATAAAAATACTGAACTAAAAAATAACAATTTTTAAATAAACTGAAATGAATGTTTTCTATTGGTTAATTAAGTTAGTTAGATTTGATTGGTTATTTTTCAATTTAAGTTAGTTAAGTTAGTTAAGGCTTATTTGAACAAAAGAAAACAAACTGCAGAAATTAAACTTGTTTAACATTTATTAAAAATTTAATAATAATAGTATTATGATAAAAAGAGTAATGCTAATTCATTAAAAATCTAAAAAATTATTCTATTCAAATAAATAATCTAAGCTTAAAATGAAAAATTTGTAAAATAATTTGAAGGAACATAATTTTAATTTAATGATATTTTTTCTCGTTTTTTAAACTTAATTATATTCTCAGCAAGGCTGCAAGTAACCTCTTTTAAGCTGTGAGCTACAAAAAAACAAAGAATAGTGTTAAAAATCAAGGAAACAGTTGACAGAAGACTTGAAAAACTAAAGGTTTTATGAGATAGGAAAACATAAAGATGAGACTTCCAAAAGATTGAAGTGCAGGGAGAAAAAACTAAATAATTAAAATTTTTTAGAGCATTTTAAGGACAGATACAGTAAAAAGATTGCAACTTTGCTGAATGACAAATCAAGAAAAAGAAAGAGTTTTGGTTAATGGAACTAGAGCTGATAGCTCGTTTGAGCAATGAAATTGATAGTATTTGTAGAAAAGAGTACAAGATGCAACCTACCAACATTCGGAAAATTGCTCAAACTTAGCAGATAAAGTCCAACTACCTTTACAATTCATTTTTGGACCTTGCTAGAAAAGAAAGGATATAACTAGAAGAACCAGTCTAAATAGGACAACAGTATGAGTGAGGACTCAAAGAGTGAGGACTCAAAGAGTGAGGACTCAATAAGTGAGGACTCAATGTGTGAGGACTCAATGAGTGAGGACTCAATGAGTGAGGACTCAATGAGTGAGGATTCAATGTGTGAGGACTCAATAAGTGAGGACTCAATGAAAAGATAGAGGACTCGATGAGTGAGGACTCAATGAGTGAGGACTCAATGAGTGAGCACTGTTGAGAGAGGACTGAGAGGGTTGTTATTAATCAATGTAGGAATGTCTACAATACTACGGCAGTTATTTACAGTAAATAATTTTTTATAGATTTAATAGAGTTGTGTTGTGGTTAAAACTCACAAGCCACTGCAACCCTCAATCTTTTACAGAAGAAGAATCAAATTTAAAGATCAAGATCAAGAAACAAGGTTGTAAGCAATCAAAAAGACAGGGGGTTGTAAACAATCAAAAAGACAGGGGGTATAAAGTTGAATTATCAACAAATAAAGCCACTTTAAATGTTAGATGATCATTAATGTAAATTAAAAAACAACACAATATCAAGGATAGAACCTTGAGGTATCCCATAAGTTACCGAAAATGAAGAAAGATGTTGACCTTTGAGGATGACTTCAGTTAGAAAGAAGTGATTTAATGATTTCAGAAACTTTTCCAGATACTCTATATTAAGTAAGCTTATGAAAAAAGACTAACATGCTAAAATGATGAGACCAGTACACTTTGTTGACTCGCACAGTTAAAAACAAAAATTATGTCTCTCATTTGTTTGTACTCAATAGAAAACAACAACATTATTAGTAGGTGTTGCATATTTTTTAAAAATGACTAATAATGTCAGTAATAATATATTTTTAACATAATGCAGAATAAAATTGTTATAAAGAGTGTGTGAGTGTGTGTATGTGTGTGTGCATATTTCAATAGATTAATGTGAAGATAATAATTTCTTACATGTATAGTAATTCAGATAAATCAACTTGAGTAATGGCATCAGTGGGAAAGTACTTCATTAAGTTTTCTCCTAAACCACTAACAAATAAAAAAAAAATTATTAAGTCATTTAATTTTATTTACATAGTGTAATTAGATTCATTCTTTAGGTTTTCCAAGCTTCTTTTATAGGTTATTATCAATCAATTATTTACAGTGATTAATAACTTTAAAACAATTTTAATCAAATACAAACACTTTAATTAACAGTTTTATACCGATGCAAACAACTTAATTGACATTTTGACTATAATTTACTCAATTTAAACAACATTAATTGACTTTTTTATAACAAACTGTTACAAAAATGAAGTAAAATATTTTGAATGAAAAAAAGCTCTTAAGTTATTAGTAGTAATTTAAATGTTTGCTTTTTTTGATTTTTTTGTTTATGATAAAATTAGAGCATACAATGCACTATGATTTTTGTGACCTGATTTTTTGGAAAAATTTTCTATTTTTTTAAGTATATAAAAATGATTTTTTTAATTTATCTCGAAGTAAACCCTTTAAAGTGTAAATAAACATATCAAACCCTTCAAGGTGTTAATAGACATTTTTTCTATTTTGAAATTAATTGCTTAGTTTGTATACATACACTCAAAATGATAATATTTTATCTCAGCTTAGTTTATAGTGAGTAAGCTTATATTGACCAGTTAAATTATTAATAAGTTACTTTTTTAATGATTAATATTTTTATTTGCTGTAAAGTAAATTATTTTTGTAAAAGCATGTACTTTTTAAAAATATATAATTAAGTTGAAATATTGCATTATTATAATAACTATATAAAAGCTAATAACACTCATATAGCCTATCATCTTATATAGATTTATTTAGATTTTCAACTAACTTTTAAAAAAGTCACTATATTTCTCCACAATATTTTTTGCAGGATTAAATTTAGTTGATGATTAGAACAACTTTCCAACTTTTAAAACAAAGATTTATTTATTTAATATGCGGATTTATTTAATGTGTGGCAGGAAAAGATAAAAATATAATGAAAACTCATATATATATAGAAATATATATAATGTACAGTATTGGACAAAACATTTGCAACCAACATCGAACAATGCTAAAAAGTGTTCCTACTTTTACATGTCTTAAAAACAAAACGAACTATACCACAGCAGGCAGAATATCGTTGACAAGTGCCATTTTGCAGCAGACAAAACAAGTGCAACTTTTTTGGTCTGCTTCATTTTCTTAAGTCTGGTCTGTGTCAACGTCACAGAAGTTCTTTAATAATTAAAGAAAGTATCCAGAAGTTTCCAGAAGCATGCAGAAGCTTCCAGAAGTTTCCAGAAGAAGAAACTGGAAGCATCCAGAAGTATACAGAAACATTCAGAAGCATCCAGACGCATCCAGAAACTTCCAGAAGCATCAAAAAGAACCATCTAGAATCTTACAGAACAGTTTTACACAGGTTCATTTTACTATATAAGAGACATGTAAACCGACATGTAATTCAGTCAATATATGGAAGTCAATCAGTCAGTATTACCAAGACAGTTTATCGAAGTGAGTTTTCTCAAAGTGTTTTTTCGAAGAATATCAAAACAAGAAGTGAAATACAACAAGTACTTCATAACATCAATACAGTCCACATCCAACCAAGATGTTGTGTTCCACAGAGCATTATTGTATCACCACAAGGTAAATGTAACACGGTAGGCCTTGAGAAGCATGATTATTTTTTAAAATTATTTTATGACTTCAAGTGCAAATATGGCTCCCGACAGTCTTGGATTGAAACTAAGAAAAAAAATTATTGGCAATTGCGTAAGTGGAATGTCACAAAAAAGTATTTGTGATAAATATCGCTTGAAAAAATGGACCATATTAAGACTATGTTCCAAATATCGTTCTACGGGGAAGTTGGCAGCAGATAACAAAGGTGGAAGACCGCGTTCCACCACTTCTAGAGAGGATTCTATGATCATCAGATCCATCAAGAAGGATCCCTGGATACCATCAGTCAAGATACAAAAGCAATTAGAGCTGCCTGTATCGGACCGAACAATCAGACGACATGCTGTTGAAGCCGGATTGTTTTCTCAACGCCCTGCAAAAAAACTGCTGATTTCACTAAAGAACCAGAAGAAAAGACTCCTGTTTGCTACATCTCATATGGACTGGAATGTGCAGAAATGGCAAACTGTTCTGTTCAGTGATGAATAGAAGTTCAACATCATTGGGAGCGATGGCACTTGCCGTGTACGCCAACCAGCCGGAAAACGCTTTGATTTGCATACTACCATAAGACTGTGAAGCATGGTGGAGGCAATGTAATGGTCTGGGGGTGTTTTTCTGCTAACAGTTTACGTCCAATACATTTTATAATTTTCGTGTACAAATAATGAACTTTGTGATGAATAAAACTTGAAAAATGTTGTCTCTAAACAGTTACATAGTTATTTCTCTAAATTGAAAAAATGCAGCACTTTTATATAAAGAAACTAAATTAGCATTATTTGGTTGCACTTGTTTTGTCTGATACTGTATATATACAAATGTATATACCACGTCATTCAAATAGTTAGAAATGATCAAGCAGAATTTAGAACTATTAATATTTGAGTAAACTGCCAAAACTTCTCGTTTTGGCAGTTTACTCAAAATAATGCAAAAATAATGCAAAATAATGCAGTTTACTCAATAAGCAAAATGTTAAGGAGAAACAGATATAAAAGTAACAATTTAGATTGATTGAGGGAAAAATTATACTATTTAATGGTGCATTTCTATCAACATCTTCTAGTGAGTCAATTCCATCAATATTTTCTGGACAACCAAGTTTATCATATCCCAAAAAATTGGATCGAGCAAAAAAATTAGAAGCATCAGAATTATGTCAGAACAACTCTCACAAAACATTTCAGACGTTGCAAGCGGTAATTATGACTTCACATTAGCAAAAGAAGTATGAGTATTGTTTTTGCTAACATGCAAAAACAAGGCTAATTTTAAAAAATTTTATTTTTACAAAAAAAGGAAATGATTCTTTATACAGCCGAAGAAGCATTACAATTAATCTTGAATTTCAATTTAAACAAGTAACTATCAATTTCAAAATAAAAGACAATGAACTATTATTAAAAATTATAACTTTTATTCAAATTAAAAAGAGATTTGGAAATATAAAATGGCAAATGAACAAATGCTATCTTTAAATCCAATATTGTTGTGCAAGTACCATTTAAAAATTCATTAGCGAATACAATCAGATGTATTGTACAATTAAAGAATTACCACATGCAATCACTCAATACTAATGTAATAAGTGCAGAGATAATACTTAGCTATAGTTTTGATGACAGCTTCTGCTACTCATTTCATAAACAAAAATTTAATACTGCTGGCAGTCATTCTGATTTAAACTTATTTGGTTACAACTGTTATACCACTCCAACTTGAAAGATAATACCTTTAATCAGTAAATTATGTTACAAAGATTGACTTAGAACTCCCTCACTTGTTAACACAACATAATGCACTTGTTAAAAGAAGGCGATATAATGTAACTGTATTAAATTTTTAAAGGTTATGATAAAGTTAAATTTAAAGGAAATTATTCCTTAAAATCAAATTATACTCTTGACCATAGTTTAAAATATTCAAATAATTTTTAATACATAACAGCAGAGAAAATATTTTACTAAATTGAGAATGGAATTACCTACCAGAAAATTTTGTTAAAGCTACTAATGTAAGTTCATTTAAAGCAATACTTGATCGATAGGAGTCGAATTATCACATAAATCAGCAGTCATAGTGTGCTTAAAACCACACTTACTGATAGGAAAACTGTCACAGCATAAGCTAATTCTAAAACATTGCTTATGATCTTAATTGATGGCATTATTTTAAATACGTTAACTGGAACCAAATAAAATCAAGTTTTTCTGACATGTAAAAATACTCTTAATTATATTGTTAAAGTACAGAAATTTAAAAATACAGAATCATTTAATGCCAAACCTATTACTTTACAGTACAACTTTAGTCCACTATATGCTTAGATAGGACTTTTTGAATGCATAGTCACATGTTATGTAGATATAATTTGTGTAAATACCAAATTTGTAGTACTAATAACAACAAAAAATGTTTATGCAAACAAAAAAATTGAATTTTAAAAACAGTTTATTGAAAACTTACACCTTCAATTGGATAAGAATATATAATTCATAACTACTTATCAACATTATATCTTAATCATATAAAATTTAGTTATATTATGCTTAGTACATAAATATCAATTATGAGAAATAAAAATCATTAGTTATTTAGTCTTTAAACAAAATTTATTTATTTATGCCTAAAAATTAGGTCTCAGAAACCATAGTTTCATCTCTTCTACATTTATAATAACAATTATTTTTCATTACGAAGTTAAGGTAGCGTTTTAACAACAAGTTTAAACAATTAGAATGTTTGTATTGGATTCCTCTATTGTTTATTTTCAAATATACTTTAGAATTTTGTTCTTTAGTTTGAAATTTCAAATATAAAAACTTTGCAATACTTGAAGCAATGAGCATTCAAAAATTTTAGATATAGAAAATATTTTAAGTACTCCTCAGTGAAAGAAATCTGAAAAAAGGACTTTAAATGAAGATGTAAAACATATATACTTAATACAAAACTGATGTTTGACTTGACAAAAAACAGAAGAAAAATAGATAAATATTGTTCAAATCAAAGTATTAATTAAAGTATTTATAATTTAAACTTACAGGTATTTCAGCTTGGGTAAATCAAAGAAGCCTCTCGGAAACTTGTATATTTTGTTTTTGATAAGATTTCTAAATTTAAAATTTTAATTTACAATTTTTTATATATATCCCTAGTGTTACTTACCCATTACACAGGTATCTTGTAATTTTCTTCTTACCCATTACACATAAAATTTTTGAATTTACCAAGGTAATTCAAATTTTTTTGTTGTGAATTTTGAAAAACGTTTTATAATACGAATCCTTTATGGCATTTGTTGAGATTTCCAGCTTCGTTCATAACTGTTACATAAGTAAGTGTATAATGTAAAATAACCAAAATTGAGATTTTCAGAGTGTAAAGAAATTATTATGCATTTAAAGCTCAGCATACTTTAATATATTTATTAATAACATTATTCTTTAATGTTTTTATATTTAATTTTAATGTTAATATTTAAACACAGTCATTATTTAACATAAAGTTATAGTTTTTATAAATAGTTTAATCATTTTAATTGTTTGTCTAATTTTATTATTCTATCTTACCATATTAATACCATCATTTTATTTAACAGGACTTAATTCTCAAACAAAATCAGTTGTTTAGGAATATTTTTTGTTTAGAAAAACAGAAGATAGTGTAAAGCACAGGATTTTTTAAGTAGTTTTGAAAGCATTTGGAACAAAAAACCTTATCACCATAGTAACTTATCTATCACCAACAAAATACTAGATTCAAGCTAAATTTTGCTACAAAAAAGATAAGTCATTAAAAAATCAAAGTATCAATGTTTTATTTAAGAAAAGATTAGAAACTGACGGTGAAGTGATAAACAAGTAGGCTGCAATTGGTGACCTAAGTTTTTACCAAATTTAGATTTACATCTACAAAAAAATTATACAAAATGTCAGGGAAAAATTTATAACAAAATATGGTAGAACTGTCACTATTATTGAGCATTATATTTTAAAGAAATTGTTTAATTCTTTAAAATGTCTTCAGTCAAGAGTGATGACAACTTTCAACCTAAAATATTCAGTTCTTTGGTAAGAAATAAACGCTATAAAAATTTTATGAAGTTTACAAAGAAGTTTAGGTTGCAAAAATTTAATGTTTCTAAGAAAAAATTTTAAAAATTTATAAACTTAGCAATCGTTTTTCTCTCATTGTGATGACTGTGGAATATTTAAGGTTTCACATGCAGCAGATCATTAAAATTAACATTAAAATTTGAAGAAAAAAAATCTTTATTAGAATAGCAATTATTATATTGTAATAATTAGAATAATATGTCTAATTTATTTAAGAGGCAGAAGCTTAAAGCTATGAAAAGCAATAATTTGAAGATAATTTGATTGGTTGAATTTAAAATTTTGAAGAAAGAAATGATATTATTTGAAGCAAGCCGAGCAAGATCTAAAAGTTTTGAAAAACTATATATAAACATTCAGAAAAAGTCAGAATATTCTTCAAAGCTTATAGTGGAATCAAATGATTCTTCAAAGCTTTTAGTGAAATCAAAAAAATCTTTAGAGCTTTTAGTGGAATCAGAAGATTCTTCAGAGCTTTTAGTGGAATCAGAAGATTCTTGGGAGCTTTTAGTGGAATCAGAAAAAGCTTTTTTAGCCATGGAATTACTTGCTGCAGAAGTAAGAAATAGGTTAGGCAATGATATCCTTTAATGCAATAATTCTACAAAAAGCTCAGTAATATAGTTTAAAAATAAGTTGAAATAAAACTTTTTTAACTTATTCTGGTACAAATTTGTTTTATTTTGTCTTAAATGACTACATTCCTCCCATGCCTCCATTTTTTTGTAATAATATTGAAAAGAAGTAAAGTTGTAGTAATATTTAAAATAATATCCAGATAAATTTAATACTGCCCTATACCTAGATAAATTTCTTTTGTTGCGTAAAAAAAAAACACAGAATCAAAGTATTTATTAATTGTTTGTATTCTTAAATATCAGACATGTTGTTTATATTTCAGAATGATCCTGATGATCTTAACCTAGATCATCATAATCATCCTGCTAATATTACCATGCAATTTAATACAAACCTCTACATAATCTGCTGCTTTCCATGAATGAACTTGGTTTTTAATGCAAAGAAGTCAACTTTGACTCAAAATACTCTTGCACTTTAAAGAATTTTGGTTGAATAAAAACTAGATATATTGTATTAAAAATAAATTACAACCTTGATGCTTGATTCAAGTTCTTTGTAACAATATAAATTGTGACTACAGTACTAAAAATTACAGTACTAAACATTAAAAACTAAATTTTTTCAATCTATTTTTTGAAAATATTCCTGAGCTTTTTGGGTAGGACTTAATGGATGTAAAGTAGTTTTTCATTTATTAACTTTTTTGAAATTCACCAGACCAGACCTGTTTTTTGTCAGAATAATTTAAATATGACTGTTTCTGATCTCACTGAATACATTTAATTATTTGGCTTTAGTATAAATGTTGTTCTAAATTATTTACTAGTTCTAAAGCTCAAAACTTTTATCTTTCTCAACTCTTACCCCAGACAACCCAAACCACTTTCCTGTGCTCCAAGACTTTTGTCTCGAATCTATTTTGTGCTCAGTATTTTTTTTATTTTCTCTTTTAGATGGTTTTAGATGGTTTTGTTAAGAACAAAATATTTACATTATTACAAGAAACTGATGCAAAAAGTTATTGTCTGATGCTATCAATTTGCAAATCTATTGTGTGTTAGATGTGAGCAGTAAACTAAGATCTGTTACTTTTAACAATAAAAGGCTTTCAATAACATCTGAAATGCTGGTCTTCTCCATAAGCTTTCTCCAAACAGTGTATTTGAAAAAAAAAAATTATTAAATGACTCTTTTTTAATCATAGAATAAATATTGTTGATAGAAAATTCTTTCCATCGTCTCCAGTAACAGGGTACTAAAGGGTTCCATCCTTGATCCTGTTTAGCTTTTTGTCTGTAATATTTTGTCTAATAATTTTTTTAACAATTTTACTTTTAAAGTGGCTCAATTTCCTGGTGATATAGTTCTCAATTTGCTGGTGATACAGTTATATACTCTCAACAAAAGGTTATTACTTTATGACCACTTATAATAGGCAAACAATCTTGAATATTATCTCTCTTTTGTAACAACTTGCAGTAACTGGTGAGTTGTTTACTGCTAACCGTCTTGGCAATTAATATTCCATAAAGTAAAAGTTTATTTTTATTTGAACTTTGAAGAAAAAATGTTAAAACTTACAATTATATAAATGTAATAATTAATATATGTTTATTCAACCATAAATAGCATCATTTGTGTAAAATATTTTTACTTAAGTAATGCACACAATATTAGCTTAATCATAAAAGTTTTCCAACATTTTTTTATTTATTAATTCATTCACTTTAGAATATTTTTTTTTTCTGATTTTTATAAATATATCAAGTCACCACACAGTAAACAATATTTATTTTAATAAACTATCATGAACAATTACATATAAAAATATCGATAAATTTTAATTCAAACAAAAAATAAAATAAAACTTGGTTATAAAATTTGTTTAAATAAAACTTACATTTCTACAAGACTTTTTGGCAAACGTGTGTAATTATGAAAAAAGACTTGAATTTCATTGCCATACAAATCGCTATAAAAACCATTTAAGCATTACAAGTTTTTAATAAAATAACTTTATAAATAAGAAAAAGTTTAACAGTAAGACATATTTTTTAAATGTTTTTTTTATGAACTTCAACATCAAAATATCTTTCGAGACCTTTCAAAAATTGAAACTTCCAATACTTTATTATTTATATAAATTTATAAAAAGTATATTAAAATTATATAAAATATGTATTAACCGAAAAACTAAATTTAAAAATCAAGTCAAAAGTAAGAGTTAAATAAATAAAATATCAAATATTTTTTATCAAAGTTAGAAATAACATAAATATTATAATGCTGATTAACAAAATTTTTTATTTTTTATTTTTTTATTCTGATATACTCTCAACAAGGCTGCAAGCAACCACTTTTAAGTTGGGAGTTATTAGAAAAAAAGAATAGAGTTATAGACTAAGGAAACGATAGACTTAAAAAAGGTTGTATGAGTAAGGAAAACATAAAGATGGGAAAGAGTTCCAAAGGGTTAAATTGTTGAAATATACAAATTTAGAAATTTATATAACATGATTATTTTAATGCTGATTCAAGTCTACATTTTAAAAATTAAAACTCGCATTTGGGTGTACCAAAAAAAAAACTCTTAAGTTTTTCTATTTCTTAAGGTCCAAATAGACTAGAAATACCAATAATATGTAGTTTATTTTTGTGTAAAAGTTATATCTGAAAAACTTCATTTTTTTTAAAAAAAAAAGCATTTTAAGACACCACGGATTTTAAGAACTCTCTTAAATATATTTTTAGTTAAAAAAATAATTATTTTTGATGCTGCATTTTATTATTTTTTATAATAAAATGTACCAAGTATAGTAAAGTCTTTTTTAAAACATTTTTGGTTACCAGCACAAGGTTCTGTTTCATGTTGCCTGACCTGCAGCCTCCAATAAAATCTTTGATCAGCCAAATATCACTTTTAGCGCAGTTCTTGACATATTTAATTAGCTTTAAATCCTTTGAAATAAATTAAATGTCTGACTGACTGACATCTCTCATAATCCACCTTTTTTCTCAAATGGGAATCTTAGCTACCTTGAAAACGAGCCAACTCTAGGAAATTGCGTGTTTAGCAAATTTACTTGCCTTGCTAATAACTGGTAGCTTTGGTTTACTTATATGAAACTGCTCACAGTGAGGCATCACATTTGACCAACTTCTCCAACACTTTCTTTATCTCTTCTTCAACATTATCAATAACATAATTTCATAACTGAAGGCTCTGTTAAATACCAAATATAGTACTGGATGGTAAAAAAAAGTGGTTTGCATTATTTTTGGGTAGTGTTCCCTTATTTCAAACCATGATTTAAAGGCAACTAAGTACTATATGGTGGGCAAGGCAACCTCCTTTAATGTCAACTTGTTCACCATAAAAGACTTTGAGAATCAGGGCTTATAACATATAATAAATATAAGAAATAAGGTCAGGGTCAGTATCTATAGAGCATCTGACATGAACCTTAATAATAATTTAATAATATTAAGTGAGATCATTACTACCAGATCATTAGAGTAGATTTTTTTATCAGTATCCTATTTAATTTAAAATTAAAAAAATTTGAAATTTCGAAAAAAAGCCTAATTTAATTTTACATATTAAATATTAGGCCAAAACAAATTCATCAGACTTTGAAAAATGTGTAAGGACTCTTCACCTTTACTTAGAACAGTAGAAAGATGGTTTGCTGGATTTAAATGTGGTTAAATGAGTCTTGAAGATGATCCACATGAAAGAAGTCCAAAAAGTGGACTTCTTTCATGTGGATCATCTTTAAGACTCGATACCAGAAAATAATTTAATACCAGAAATCGAAGCAAAAATACAGAATTTGTTTTCGGAGTATTGTTGATTAACCAAGAGTAGAGGCATCTTATTAGGTAGTGTAAACAATATTTTGTCTGAAGTTTTGGGTTTCAAAAAGATGTGTAAAAAAAATTATACTTTGACAATTTAGCAAAGACTGGTATGAAAAAGCAGCATTGTGGGATAAAACTGTTTGAATGAAACAAGTATCAACAACTTGAGATGACAACTACTAATTTTTATCAAATTCTTCATCAAATTTAACATCTGAAGATTTCAAGAAGCATCTGATATTCAAGCAAAGCACTGTATCCCTAAATGTTCACAAAGTGGAAATAAAATACTGAAAAAAGTGACAAAGGCCCTGTTTAAATACACAAACTATTTTGACTATTATGATGTTGATTTTATGAAAAAAAAAATTTTAACTACTTGTATATATTGTGTATTTTTTTTTATTTGAGTTTTAAGAATGACGCATTTTGTTATTGTCTTTTAAACCTTTTAATGGGTTAAATTGTCTTTTAACCCTTTAATTAATTGTCTTTTAACCCTTTGTAATGGGTTTTAAAATAGATTTTTATAATAAAGTAATTAATTTGTATCCTTTATAAAAATGGTTTTTAATGATTTTTGTAAATTTTACTGATGAGGAACTATGCAGTTTGAAACATGTATAATAAACATTTTAAAAGTGTTGTAAATTTTATTCAAATATATATATATATATATATATATATATATATATATATATATATATATATACATATATATATATATATATATATATATATATATATATATATATATATATATATATATATATATATATGATATAATAAATATGGTAAAATAACACTGGATTTATATGTTTTTTGAATAAAAAATATTTTTAGGGGTGCCTCAAGGCCCTTGAACATTTAATTAGTCCCTAATAATAATTTAAAAAAATGTATTTTGTCTGGGTCAGGAAAATATGAAGATGGGATAGAATTCTAATGCATTAAAGTACAAGATCTAAAATGAGTTTCTAAGATTAAACATTTTCAAATTTAAAAAAAAAAAAAAAAAAAAAAAATTTAAAATTATTGTTTCTCCAAAGTCTGTCTAGCAGACTTTAGCTAATAACTGTTTGGCAGCAATGAACTTGTCAATCAGTTTTTGAATCATCGCTTGCAAAATAGTAGTTTATTCCGTAAGACTACAATCCTGTTTGCAAGGAAATTATATCTTACTAGTTTATTTGTGAATTGCCTTGAAAATCTTGATTTATAGCCTATAACATTGCTTGCAGGTTCTTTTGCTGATAGAGAATGTGATTGGGCATGAAAATGATACTAATTGAATCCCTTGACTGTCTTAAAATAATGCAACAATTCCTTTCTTTTCCTTCTCTGTTCTAGAAATTGTATGTTAATACAAGTTTGAAAGGTTTTTGATTTTGAACAATTGCATGTTGCTGGTATAAGTTAGATTTCTCTTTTCTGTACAGCTTCAGAGTCCCCATGTCAATTTTTTGAAAAAGATTCTAAACAGATGCAAAGTATTTTAAATAAGGTTAAATATAGGTTGTATGCAGTCTAACAAAAATAGTTTCTGCCCAAGTCTTGAATGTTCATTTAAGCATGTCTAGAACTATATTGGTTTTATTTATAAAATGTCTAATGTGGAAACTACATTTTGCATTATTGATAAAACTACACTATGGTTTTATTTAAACAAGGTTTAATATAAGGTTTAATTACACCAAGGTTTTGAACAGTTTTTTGTCATTTTAAAATTAAAAACCCAATATAATCTTTTGTAATAAAATAATAATTATTGAGATTTTTGATAGATTTTTCAAAGAATTTCACAACTATGCATTTTTTTTTTATATTGAAGGACATATCCCATAACTTGGACCGTTTTATAAAAATGTCATTTTGAACTGATAGTATATCTATACTGTTTTTATTAATAGCAGTAAGCTGGCTGTTTTAATAATAGCAGTAAGCTGGCTGTTTTAATAATAGCAGTAAGCTATAATCCACTAAAAAAGCTTACAAAAATCTCTGGCACATAATTTATACATATGAAAAACAATAACGGATTGAAGAATGATCCTTGTGGTACTCTACCCATTACTTTTGCCCAATTACAAAATGCCTCATCTAAGATTACTTGTTGCCTTTTACTTTTTTTAAAGAAATCCAAGCAATTACTTTTGCTTCAAATCCATACCATTTTTAAGTTTTAAGTTCAATAGTTTTAAGTTCAATAGTTAAAACTTATTTGCACTAATATGCACTAATATTCAAAAATAGAAAATCAGCAAGTCTAACTAGATATTTTTGAAAATATTTTTTATAACAATTCATTGTTTTTATATATTCATCAAAATCTTCTCTACTTAACTTTGCAATTTGTAATAATTCTTTAGGTTTTTTGTTTAGTGTTAAAATAAAAATTGAAAAAAAAAAAAAATAGTACTAGTAAATGTAACAACGAATAAAAAAAAATTTAAACAAAAAGTTGAATTATAAATAGTAAGTTTTACAAAATAAAATAAAATAAAAAATAAATAAAAAAACACAAACATATTTGAAAGAATGATTGAAAGCAAACTATTAAAAAAAATAAAGGCATTAAGTCTGTTCCACAAATTACGAAGAAATGATCCTTTATGCAAAATAAAACCAGTATCAACTATCTAAAAAAGTTTTTTTTTATATAAACAACCCAAGAAACAAAAAATAAAAATTTAAGTATGGAGTACAAATCAAGTAATATTAGGACAGAAATAAAATTATGGCTTAGTGCCTTGATAATTATACCAAACACCTCTAAGAGGTTTATGGCACATGATTTACCCATAACAAATCTATGTTGTTAAACAGAAAGTTGTTTGAGATTAGTAAGAGGCTGAGTCATGTGTTCTCTCATATTGCATTTTTTCAGAGCAAGGGAACAATACCTGTTTCAAAAGATTTTATAGAAAACAGAAGATATAATTTGAGTTTTTAATTTAAACTCAAACATTAATGATTTATTATGAGGCTGAGTAAAAGTTTTTTGAGACTAGTGGTTTAAATATTGAGTGATATATTATTTGTCTGTGATTTCTTTTCTGTAAGGATCGAACACTGCATTGATGTCAGTTTTTAATTTTTTCTGTTTGTTATAAATACATTGAAATAATTTCTTCATAATGTAAAACTGCCCACCATTCACTAGTTTTGTAACTAGTTTGCGTTGAATTCAGTTTTAAGCTTTCATTTTATTTAAATGCTACAACAATCAATAATAATTTATAACTACAAAAATAATATATTTTATTGTTGATGTTTGATTTGATGCTACAATAATCTTTTTGAAAAAAAATAGTTTATATTTTTGAAGCTTTTTTAATGTTTTTATTAATTGGGTAGCTTGTTGATAACCTTATTTAGCCAATTTCATTCATTATAACCAAGTTTTTTATCTTAACTCTTTAAGTGTTTTTTAAACAGGCTAGGGAACTATGTCTAACTTGATAGTCTCACAACAATGTCTTATATAAAAGTGCTCATATACAAATTCCATTAGTAAAACATTGTGGAGAAAGTGTGATGGTTTAAAAAATGTTTTCTTGGAAGGAAATATAAATGCTTCTATTTGTAAGGACATTTTTGAAAACAAGTTTTATTATATGCTGAAAAAATGATGCCGCAAAATTAGGTAGTAAAATTAGGCAAAATTAAAATCAGCAAGGTAATGACCCAAACACACATCCAAGTTGTTAAAACAGTAGTTTTTGACTTCAAATATGAGAGTATTAAGATAATTTCAATTCAAGAGACTTGAACCCAAAGAAACACTTATGGAAAACACTATATTGTCAAGTTAAAAAGCATTCATATTGAAATTAGGTTATTGAAGATAACCAATTTACAGAGAACATAGTAAAAATATCAAAAATTAAATCAAAATTATATCTTTTATTTATATTGTTAATCATAAATTAATAAAATACATTATTGGACAACTTATACATAAGATTATTTATGATTGTTTATAGTGCTAATGATAAATGTTTTTGTTTTTTTTATTAATATTAATTAGTATTATTATTACCATTATTATATTTATTTTTCAGGCGATTTTTATTTGGTTTTTGAATATTGTGATCATGACTTGATGGGAATTTTAGAATCGGGCTTTGTTCAATTCACTACGTAAATAAGTACGAGAGTGGAGAAAAGCTCTCCTTAAACAAACACGGCAAGCCATGTAAGCTGCTCCTCTAAACAGTTTTTTATTCATTTATATATATATATATATATATATATATATATATATATATATATATATATATAAATGTAGTATGAAAGATATATTATAAGATATATCATGCCATTTCAAGATTGTCATTCTTCAATAATATTTATACTGAATAATATTTATACTGAATAATGTATTTTATTAATTTATAATTAACAATATAAATAACAATATAAACAAGAAGAAATTGAAATAGCAACATCTTTATTTATTGATTTTCCAAAATCGGTTGCTGAAGTGATTAAAACAGTTGATCAATTAAGGGTTTAATCACATTCATTCACTTCACTTTTAATCAGCATCAGCTGACCAGCACTTGTGCGTGTTTTCTGTAGCAACTTCCTCAAAATATTTCCAGAAACTATAGTGTATCTCAGTTGTTTTATCAATTTCATTGACATTATTTTTCTTCCGAAGCGGAGATGAATCATTATCGGTGCTACTAAATGCTTCAATAATATTTTATTGATTTCGGATCATTAATATCCCATTACAATTTCCTTTCAGCTGACTCTTTCAGAGTTAACTATTTCTTTTTTAACGTTTTGATGAAAATAATATTAATTTAATATAGAAACTTTATATAATTCAGCGATCAATTGTATTTCCCTTTTTTTTTTCTATGAGAGGTCAGTAATAAACGATAATCAAAGAAGTCGTAAAGAAGAGAACTCAGTGAAAGGGTTGCCATTCAACAATAAAGGAATGTTGATAATATTGAAATAGTTGTTTGCAGTAAATAATTAAGTTTTGTTGGAGTTAAAATTCACAAACCACTGCAAACTTTAATCTGTTGCAGAAGTGAGATCGGATTGAAGATTGGCTGCCTGCTCTAAGCTATTCATAAAAAAAAGAATTATACTTCATTTGTTATTGTATATTTATTGATAATACCCAAAGAAAAACACAAATGTGGACATACGGTCTTTTGTGCAAAAGTGACATATAATATTCAAATCATTGAAGGAAGAATAGGATAAAATTCCACCAGCTTGTATTAATCAATTAATTAAGTCAATGCAACATCATTGTGCAGCTGTTATCACTGAAAATGATATGGCAACAAAATATTATAATCAAAGTATAAATTATTTTATATATCCGCATCTCTTTATTGCTAAATCTCATAATTAAATTAAATAATTAAAAACTATTTGACTTTTTTCATTAGTTGGGAAGTTTCAATGGAATAATTTTTTTTTTCGTGTAGTCTATGAAAAAGAGTGTTTTTGGTTTTACTTACATTTAAGAATAGCTTATTTGACTTTAACCATTCCATTAAATTTTGTAATGTTTAAATATAAATTCTTTAGATTTAAATTAGTAGCTCTTATTTACTTTTTTAACTTATTAAAACTTTTTTTAAATTTTAATTGTTTCATAGTTTCATAGTTTTTTTCTTACATTTATAATATGGAGCTCTGTTGGAGTCCATATATTTCATACCTTGAAGTGATTATGAAGTCATATTTCAATTTAAAACTGTTAAGATCTTTATAAATTGCTCTCTGATTGTAAAAAATACACAAATCTAAGTTTACTTTTAAAAATAATGATAACGGTTTGATGTAAAACTTAATATAAAATTAATCAAATGTAAAATTTAATATAGCTGATCCTTATGAGAAAGCCCTAAAAATTTGGAAAATGCATCTAATTTTGAAGCCTAAAGTACTAATAAAAACATTAATCTTGAAAATAGAATTGAATTTTCCCAAGTTTTTGTAACCCTTAATTGATCAACTGTTTTAATCACTTCATTTCATCACATTCAACTCACATAACTAATGAAAGTAATGTTTTATCTAGATAATCAATTACTTCTGCAAACACTAATTTGTTTTTAAAAACTTCTTGAGTTTTTTATAATGCTATTTCTTTAACAAGAGAGTATAAATCAGCATACAGAGATGTTGAATTTATTACTTGAGAGGGCTATATAAAATAAGATAGAGTACACAATGTTGAGGCCCTGAAAATGTTTAAATTTAAGTTTAAATTAAATTTAAGTTTGTCAGGAAGATCATTAATCTTGATAAAAAACAGGACCATTATAGAACCTTGAATATCTAGTGTTCATCATTCTAGGCAAGAAGTAATTTATATTATACCCTTTTTCATTTGTGTCATATTAAACTGGAGCAATGTACACAACGCCTAAAAGGACTTGAAGAAGCTAACATAACCATTCTTCAGTTTCTAACCAATGGCTTTGATATTCAACTACCATTTAATCAGTGGTTTTTCGATCCAGTTGTAATATGAAATATATATATATATATATATATATATATATATATATATATATGTATATATATATATATATATATATATACATATATATATATATATATATATATATATATATATATATATATATATATATATATATATATATATATATATATATATATATATATATATATAAATATATATATTAGTTTACAGAGTTTGATAAAATAAATAAACAGGGTTGCCACTCAACCTGGAAAACATGGAATACCTGGAAATAGTATGAATCCCAGGGAAAACCTGAAATACTCAGAGATTTTTTTAAATTTTTATAAAATTCAGGGAAAACTCAGGGAAAATAATTTTTTTTTAATTTTGTACAATAATTTTTTTTTCCAAAAAATATTTTGCTAATACATATAATAATAAGTTTGCTAGTTGTGGGTGTTGTTGTAAAAGTTTTAGTTTGTCAAATATAAAGATTGTGTTAAAGATTGTGTCAAATTAATTTATAAATAATAAAGATTGTGTCTCTTACAGTTTTTCAAGTTTTTCACAGCGGCTCAAGTCAGGAATTTCAATTAACTTACTGCCAACAATTATTCTAAACAAAAGAAACTTTATATAACTAAATACTCAAATTTAACAAAAAAATATTGGATGAAAGAACAGGTTAAATTTTATTGTTATTTACTAAGAATGTACCATAGCTTTGGCTTCGCCATGTCGAAAGTTCAGCAAAACAGGGTCAGTTTTTGCCAAATCATTGGCTTTGGCAAGTTTTTTTAGGTAATTTAAGGTACTAAGCTAATGTTATACTAAACATAAAATAATTTTATTGTTTACGATACAACTACTATAAATCTAATATTTTTAATTTGCTCCTTTATTTTGATTTGTTGACATATGCCACGGCATACAAAGTACACATTGTGGCGTGCTAACTATATTTTTATTTATTTTTTTGCCTGCTTATCAAAATCAATGAGTGCTTTTATATATTTCATTTAACCTCAATGTTTAACTATTTTCCATTATTGTATTTATTCAAATCTACTTTCACTGTAATTTGTATTTAGTTTTTTTGCGCTTGAAACGTATGCACTGTGGGCCAGACTTTTACCTGAAAAAATTCGTATTAGTCAACTTAATTAATATTAGGGTTATATTCACTAAAATTAGCATGTATTAATATGATGTCTGTGCTTATTATGAAGGTGTTATTTTTTTATTTAGTTGCTGTGGATACCTATATTTTGCTTAGCAACAATCTACTTTTGGTATTAGCAGATTTTTTACGAGTGCAATATTAACTAAATTTGGCATAAGTACCAATATGAGATCGCACTTCTTATATAAGTGAAAATTTTTTAATTTAATTTCTATGGATACTTACATTGCTTAATTACCAGATAATTTCCTTAGTTGTAAAAGAGTAATTTGATTTCTGAATAAATTTCGTCGGATTTTTGATTTTTGATTTTTGATTTTTAATTTTTGATTTTGAATAACTATAAAATATTTATGTAAATAATGTTTGAGCAGTAATAAAATCGAAAAATAGTGCAAGAAAACATTGTTAATTTTTTATTACATCAAAAATTTATAAAACAATAACATTGTTTGAAGATAGTTTAAGTGATTCTAAATAATCTGAAAGAAATACTATATGATTAGTTTGGTATGATGTTGATTTACATTGTGATAAAAAAACAAAATCATTGGAAACTGAGTCAATTGATTCGATCAGTATTTGTTGCACTTTTGTTACAAACTTTTATAATAGAATTTGAAGTTTTTATTTCTAGCCTCTAGAATATCCTCTGACATAAGGCCTATAGATAATGTAAGGCTTTGAATTTTGTCATGTCCATGTATCAACACTTTGTGGACAGATTGAACCATTTAATACAATGGATAAAGAGACACATAGTCTAACAGTGTCAAAACAATAATCCTTAAATTTAATGCAGTCAAATTTTATTTCATATCCTAAAGAAATAAAATTATAATGTAAAATTTGAATATAAGCTTTTGACCCAGAACTTCAGATATTTGTTCATATGCTGCAAAAGCAGGCTTTGAAGTATTGCCATTGTTGCTTAATCCAGAACCACCACTTTTGGGTAAATCAACAAGTCCAATTTTATTCATAAAATTAATCTAAATCTTTTGTTAAATACAGATCCTTTTGATACAGATTATTTGTGTTCTTTAGATCTCGCCACTTGTTTTTTTTTTATTTAAAATGTGCAAAATCATCAAAAAAAATCGACCCATGCATGGAGATCAGAAAGACCATATTTGAATTCTCTTTGAATATAATCTATGATAAGAATCTTTAATAGAAGTTCTGCAAACATCTAATAAAACATAGCCAAGCTTCTTATCATCTCACTTCTAATGTACTGATCTTCTTTGAGTACAGATTTATTGTATTCCATTTTGTATGCAAATCTTAAGGGTCTGCAATTGTGACTTTTAATTTCTCTAAATAGACACCTTTTCAACGATGTTGTTAAATCCACTTGTTAAGTCCAATGGGACAAAACAAGTAATAAATAACAATTCTTCACGTTTTAATAAATAACAATTCTTCATCTTTGTTCATGCCAGGTTCTGACAAAACTTGTTTATAAATGCTTTGGCCAGTAGCACCATCAAAATTAGCCTTATACTTGAATGTTATTATTTTTATTGCTTTACCATTCAGTATCAAGTGCCTCAGCATAGGTTCCTGAACTGGACAGAAAGAGACTGAACCTGAATTGTCTTCCACTGTTATATTTGTAGGATAGCATTTCAATTTTGGATCCCTAACATCATTGCAAGCAGGGTAGATGTTATATTCTTTCTCTGTTATAAAAATCCCTTATGGGATTATTTCAAAGTGAGTGATGAAGATGTTAACAAAGCAGTGTGCATTCTTTGTAAAAAGACTTTATCTAGAGGCTGTAAAAATGCACATAAAATGTCAACAACAAATTTACAAACCATCTCAAAAAAGTTCATCACAATTTGCATATCATGATTCTTGCAGACTTGTTGACAAAGTTGTAAATTAGGTTATGATACAAACTGAAATTACCGTTAAAAATATCAATAGTCTGATTGTTCAAATTTTTGTCCAAAACTGAAATTTAGGTTGAAACCTAACCTTGTGTTATTACTATAAACCATAAGGTTTATCAATTAAAATATAAAGATAATAACAAAATAATTTCTTTTTCTTTATCCTGCTTTGTAAAGCAAACCGTTAACAGCTAAGCGACTGTTAATGACCAAGCTACACTGAATTCAAAACAAACTGAATTCAAGCTACACTAAAATCAAAGATCTGTAAGGCATTTTTGCACTTATAAAACAATATGCTCAGATAGAAAAAGTTGTGCTGAATCAGTTCAAACTAGTACTAGCAGAACCACAGAAAAAAACTCTTAAAAAACTCAAATGTATTTAATAACTCTTTTGCTTCTATTCAAAGAACACACTGTAAGAATTATTGGAAATGTGGATCGCTTCTTAACACACCAATTTTCTTTTTAACAAATTCAAAATAAAAACAAAATTTTCATTTGTTTTAAAACTTAAACTATCATTTTAAAGATTAAAGATTTAAAATAAAAGTTTAAGTTTTAAATTATGATTCATACTTTTTTGTTTCAACCTGGACAAAGTTAACTTCTACTTTAGCCTTGCAACAATACCAAAAAATTAACCCCTTATAAGTGGTTGGGTGCTTACAATTATACCTGCTCTGATAAAGACACTAAAAATAAGAATTTGGCAAGGTTCTCAATAAAAGTTTTGTGTGTACCTCCTTCATCCATTAAAAGTGAACGCCTGTTCAGCACAACAGGAAACATATTTGAAGCCAAAGAAACATGGAGAACAGATTGTATTTTTAAGTTATAACTTGCCTAATTTCATCCAATAATTAATTCAAACGTAATAAACTAATAATTGCTATATAATTACAATAACTTTTCTTGTTTGTAATTAGAAAATATTAAATAGTAATTTTATTATACTTCAAAATACCACCTACTGTATACTAAACATTGTTTATAATATAATTTTAAAATTTAGACTTGAGTTGATGAGAAGCGAAACTAGTTTTATTATTCACACCCTGATTCAATTACTAATTTGTAATTAGTAATTACTAATTAGATAAGTATTTTTTTTCCATGTAACATTAAACTTGTTTAAACAAGATATAGCTACAACTTTAAAAAAAAGCTTGATGATTTGCGGTGAAATACCTTGTGTCTTAAAATACATATAATTGCAGTACTATATATATAAACATACTGTTTTTCAACAATTAGTATTATCTTTAGGTAGCTAGATCTGCAAGATAGCAAATTCTAGCTAAGTAAGTGCAAAATCTTTGATTGCGGCCAAAGCTTCAGCTTTAGCATAGTCACTTTGGCTAAAGCTTTAGTTTCCGAAAAATCTTAGCTATGGTACATCCCTATTATTTACTCACAAAGATAAAAGTATAAGAAGTAGATAAAAGTATAAACTAATTACAAATTTGTGAGATCTTTAAAATTCCAAAAGGTTTTTGGAGCAATATACCAGAGCTTTGAATACTGAATTTCTCTAAAAAAAAATCATATATATATATATATACATACATACACTAGAAAATACAACATTTGTCATTTATTTTATTAAACTTGTTGTTTGAAAAAATAAAATACTGACATTGTTATTGCATCTGAAGGAAAAGTAGTTTCATTGATGCTAACAAAACTTGTATTGACAGCATTATTTTCTGGAGAAAAGCTAAAAAAAAAGAAGACAATACATAAAACTTTACTAATATTGTTTAATATAGGTAAAATAAATAAAGATGTAAATCTTTAAAGGAACATTTACATTTATTAATAGAACAGTAGAATTTATTAATAGAACAGTGGAATTTAGCGATAGATTTAATTTTCTTTCCATTTTTGTCATTAAAATAGTTGAAGATTTCATGGCAAAAAAGAAGCTTAAACTTTGGTGACGGTTAGAAAAAATATTAAGAAAAGTTATTAGCTTTGATAAGAGATTTCAAAAACATGTTAAAAACTAGAAATTTAGAAGTTTGTTGTTTTCAACATAAAGGTGCTCATGGTTTTTTTTTGTAAATTAAACTATCATAAGGACGTATCATAAGCCTTAACTCCACTTTGCAACTGTTAACTCCATTTTTTGCAAATTTATTGATTTCAATAATTTCTTTTATTGAAACAAAGAAACTCATTGAAACTAAGAACTCATTAAAAAATCATTTGTCTATTAATATTTTTAGTATTTAACACTAAAAATATGAACTAAAAAATGGTTAGATTCAAAAAGGTTAGTAGAGAATAGCTAATAAATTTTCTTTTAAAAAAAAAAAAATTAAAAAAAGCTGAAATTCTAATGTTATCTTAATTTTATTGCCTCAAATGAATGGATTAAAATATTTTTAATGATAGATTAAAATATTTATAATGATAGATTAAAATATTTATAATTATAGATTAAAATATTTATAATGATAGATTAAAATATTTTTATTTATAGGTTAAAATATTTTTAATGATAGATTAAAATATTTTTCATGATGGGTTAAAATGTTTTTTCCTACTTAATTAACTTAGTCTTATACTAAAAAAAAAAGTTTCATTAAAAAAAAATGAAAAACTATTTTGTGATAAATGAAATAAACATTTATTTAGGGCATATACAAGAAGTTGTTAAAATGTTTTTTTTAATCTGTTATTGATATTAGGAAAATGATAGAACTGATAAAGGAAAAGTGTTTTCTAAAGATGTTAAATTATTAAACATGCCTGCTAACAGAAATAACTTAAACAGATCTTCATCAAGTTATTCATTTCACAACAATAACTAATGTATATCTAATTAAAGATATAATAATGTATTTATTTCATGATTATAAAAAGGAACAAATTACATCCCAGACAGCAAGCTTACATTGGTCCAACGTAAGTTTTAACATTGGCAAATTTATTCTGTTGGGCCAACATTTAGCCATGTTTTTTTTCCGCGTAATATTTCAACTCTGCAAATTGGTTTTTTGCAAATATTGTACTATGTTAGGCCAACATTTGGCCAATATAGTCTTGCCTCAATATTTTGCTGTTCTTACACTAATGCTATAGCTCTCTTTAGCCAATATTTGGCAAATATAGTTGTGAATCATTTTTTTGGTACATTTTTTAAAACTTGTTGCATAATTTTTTTTTTTAAATGGCATCGTTTTACAAAATAAAGAAAAGTTTTGATATTATCTTTCCATTTTTTTAAATTCTAAAAATAAAAAAATAGGCTATATTTATTATTCTTCTAAGAATCCTAGAAGGTTACCTCATTAGAAGTCAACTTCAAAAGGTTCTTGTGGCGTTCTTGTTATGTTTTATTTTTTTAAAATAATGAAATATTAATTAACATATAAATAATGTGTATTTATATGTTTATTAATATTTTGTATTTATAACTGACCATTGGACTAAGTATACAGAAGCTGGTACACCTATAAAATTTTTATTGTGTGAACTTAAAAATGCCTTTATTTTAGAATAAATCAAACATATGAAATGTCACACAGTAATAAATATTTAAAAAAAAAAACTTTCCTAATTTATTTAAGTTAGTTTTTTGTTCATAAAGTGATGTTACTAGAAACTTAATTTTATTTTAGTAGAGCTTTCTAATATTGCCATACTTTCTAATATTATAAGACCAATGACTAGTCTATAATAGTTGAATGAATAATGTGATTAAATCAATAAATAATCATTAAAAACAATTATAATTAAAAAAATCAATTTAGTTAATGATTTTTATTTTCCCGCTTTAAATCATGATTTAAATCAAAATAACCCTGTATAATAATACAAAAAATATTATTAAACTTTGGGGTTTACCTGTAACTCTAAACTCTTTTCAGAAGTTCAAAGTTTGCTCTGAAAAATTGAATGAACAAAATTTATTAATTGGTAAGTTTTAATTCAAAAAAGTCTTTTTGTCTGATGATTGGAAATCTTTATTCATACCTTTAACTTTTACAATTTTTAAAAGATTTTTTCATATAATATGGTCAAAAAGTCAATAATCAACATATGAAAGCTTATACCAACTTTGAAATCTATTTGAAATCAACTCTTAGGAAAAAAAACATACTATTCATTTAGTTTAAAGTTTTAACAGTTGCTGATGGTTTATTATTATTCATTTTGTAAAAGTATATTTAGAATTATTTAGTATTATTATATGAAATATGAAATTAGATTATATAGATATTATAAAGATATATTATTAAAGGCATCAATAATGTATATAAAATTATATATCTAATGATGTGTCATTAAATATAAATTTTTATATATGGCTACTACAGTGGCATTGAAGTTGTTAGAAGCTGATGTTTTAAATTTTAAATATGTTTCTTTTGTTTAAATTTTTCTGTGTTAGATTGTGAAACCTCATCTACTAACATATTTTAACAATGTACAAAAAGTGATGTTACTAGAATCTATATTCTACTTATAGAGCTTTCTTTTACTTGTAGAGCTTTCTAATATTGCCAGACAGTTTATTATAAGACCAATGACTAGTCTATAATAATTGATTGAATTATGATATTAAATCAATAAATAATTATTAAAAACAATTAAAATAAAAAAACTTAATTTGATTCATTATTTTTATTTATATGGTACAAAACATGTATATATTCCTTCTTTCTGAGGCAGAGGGGCGTTATTCTTGGTTTTACTATTTTTTAATTTAATATTATTGGATGTTGTTCATATTTAGTTTGCATACAACAGTTAACTACTTTAGGCTTATACATTAACTTTAGTTATAACTTAATTATTAATAAACTGATTTATAGATTTTTATAGCAATCCAAGATTGAACTTAGCAGAAGGCTAATATTTTGCTCTGAAGACAAAAAGGAAGTCAGCAAAAATGATCAGCCAAAATTAAGATTGAAGAGACATTAATTGTGTATATCTTGGTGATGATTCATTCGAGTGATGATTTATTATGATTAATGATAAATCATCACTAAAATAATCTGAAGAATCCTCTACACCAGTTGTAAATAAAATAATGAATAATGATTAAATATTAAATTAAAAAATAATAAAACCAAGAATAACGCCCCTGTTAATGTTGTGTACAACATTAAGCCAATGTTGTACACAAGGTTGGGCCATTGCCTAACCAATGATCAAACCAGCATGGGCCAACTTCAAATTTCAACGTTGGACCAATGCATCACCATGCATTGGCCCAGCGTTGGTCCAATGTATTCTTGCTGTCTGGGAT